AAAAAAAAAAAAAAAAGATTCATGCCAGTGATTTCTCTGAGGTATCTGAACAGAAACCGGTTCTGGAAGACAAAGTGTCAAATCAGGCTCGTAAAATTCCCAAAATTAAAGCTTACATTCCCAAATTTCAAAAGCCAGGAACATAGGACTAACAATAAGCAAAAATCACAATAAACAAAAGAAGACACTAAAATGCTGATAAAGATAATCATAATTAATTTTTAAAATATTTTAAATATTTTAAAAAATGAGATCGAGATACTGGAAAGAACAGATAGATTAAAAATAAACTAAAAAGAACTTTCAGAAATTAAAAATATCATTAAATTTAAATCTCATTGGATGAAAAAGCAGATTTGACATAAATTAAGAAATAATTCAAAAATTAGAAAATATATGTTAAAAATTTCTCAGGATGAAGCACAGAGAAATAAATGCATAGAAAATATTAAAAAGAAGATAAGAGACATGAAGGATAGAAGAAAAATGTTCGAAAGATATTTAATATGACCTTCAAGATAACAGAATAGAAAACAATGTAGGCAGCATTTGAAACATGGGAAAACACAATGACTGAGAATTTTTCAAATTAAACGAAACACGCAAATTCTTACATTGAAGAAGTACTAGTCTCCAGAAGGATAAATTAAATAAACCCATACCTAAGTGTGTCATAGTAGACACAAAGACAAAGAGAAAACAAAGCAACCAGAGAAAAATATCTAAACTAGACAACCCACACTGGAATGAATATCATGTTTACAAAAGCCTTCTCATTGGTAACAAAAGAGGCCACAAGCATCTAAATGTAAAACATGAAACTATAAAACTTTCAGAAACAAAAATATGAGAAAATCTTGGGGACCTTGAGTTAGACAAAGAATTGTTAGGTACAACAACAAAAAAATTATCTGCCAAAGGAAAACATTGATAAATTGCACTTAACAAAATTAAAAATACTCTTCCAAAGACACAGTTAAAAGAATGAAAAGTCAAGCTACAGACTTGGAAAAAAATATTTGCAAAACATATATCTGACAAAAGACTGTATCTAGACTATATAAAGAATTCTCAAAAACCAACAATAAGAAAACAAACACAATTTTTAAAAATGTTAGGCAAAAAATTTGAACACACATTTTTCAAAAAAAGATATGTAGATTGCAAATAATAAGCACATGAAAACATATTGAACATTAGTAATCACCAGAGAAATGTGAGTTAAAACCACAATGAGCTACTATTATTATATACCTATCAGAACGGCTTTTTTTAAAAAACTGACAATATCAACTGCTGGCGAGGATGCAAAGCAGCTGGAACTCTCATACATTACTGGTGGGAACAGAAAACAGTTTGACATTTTCTCAGAGTTAAACATTCACTTACCATACAACCCAGCAACCCCACTCCTAGGTATTTATTTACCCAAGAGAAATAAAAACCTATTTTACACTCCCCCCCCAAAAAAAAAAATCAAACCTGCAAACAACCCAATGTTCCTCAACTGGGGAATAGATAAACAAACCATGGTACACCCATACAATGGAATACTACTCAGCAATAAAAAAGAGTGAACTATTGACACANTATAATGACTGGTGATTGCTTGCTCACAAAAAGTATGGCACATTTTTTTATTATTATTCCTACTTAGCTGATAAAAAACATACCTAATTCTAATATTTTAACTATAACATCTGTAATCATTAGCCAATCACCTACCTGAACATTTAGAGATTATCTGATGTTGCACCAAGTTCGGATCTTCAGCTGACCCCTCTTCAGCCCATTTTGTTTTCTCAGGGTTGTTTTTCCCCATTTCATCATTACTGTTTCCACTTCCCTCTGTATCACCACTTTCTGAATGACCCTCTTTAACAAAGTTCAACTTGATTGCAGCATCAACCGAAAAATTATTTCCAAAGACACATTTTTCAAAAATAATGTATTTTTTTAACTTTAAATTACTAGACTATTTTAACACTAATGGAAGTATAGGTGGGGACACACATATACTAGCATTAAAGTATTCTAGAATGATAACACTTTTTAATTAAATATAATTTAACTACACAATTAAATTTAACAACAATTTGCACCAAAGAAATATGCACCATTCTCTAGCAATAATGGAGAAGAGTTAGGAATGCGTCCTTAAGAGAACTGCTGCTCTCTGCCAGGCTCTGGGGACGAGACACAAGAGTCCCTGCTCCCTGAGATTACACTCAGACGGAACATCAAAGGTCTACAGCCGTTCTGTCCAATACGATATAACAGCCACGAGCCACATGTGGCTATTGAACAGTTGAAAAGTGAATAATTTGACTTGAGATGTGCTTCTGATAGATTCGTCAGGTCAGAACCATGTGTTTTGGTGAGTCATTTATTTTTATGCTATTCTCAGTTTTTCTATTTTATTTTGGTTTCTCATCTTTAGGGCCCTGAGGGCTGGATTGGCAAGTGAGAGTCACAGTGGAAATGAACTCAGCCCAAGGGAGAGGCGAAACCTCAGGGAGAGAGAGCCAGCCACTTCGGAGAGGAGTACCTTTCCCCTCCCAATGGAAGAACTGTCTGCACCAGCCCTTTAGGGCTTAGTCCTTGGAGGGTCTGATGTTCTCTCTGCATCCACATGATCAACTCTCCCCTACTGTCATCTGTGTCCCCTTGTGACTCTCCAAGGCAGAAGGTTGGTGTTGCAGAGAATTAAACTGCCAGGGATACAGGACCGCAGGAGCGTCTCTGTTTGCTGAAGTAGGACATAAGTCCCAGCAGCACTGAGCTGAGTCAGTGGTATAATAATCATAGTTACCAATTATTGAGGAATTACTATTGGCCATGTCTTGTGCTAAGTACCTTACACACACTGCCTTGTTCACTCCCCACTGTGACCCTTTGGTAAAGGCACTGCTTCCCCGATGTGACCGAGAAGAAAACAGACTCAGGATGGAATGAAAGTAGTGGAGGCCCAATTTTCAAACAAACAAAACAATGTCTACTTTATGCAACCTCAGAGGTGTAAAAGAGGGTTCCCTGTTCAAAAACATACTTCTGTCAAAGGCCAGGTAAAGCCTGAAATTCCATAATATCCAGTAAATCCTTAAGGCTATATAGTTCTGTGAAAATGCTGAATTGCTGGGCGAGGTCACGTGAGCCCTGTCAGTCATTTAATGAATTAGCCGACCTTTCCTTCAGAATGCGTTTTTATGTAGAGGAATATAGAATATAAAAAAGATGACTAGATATAAGCACTATATTTGGATAGCACTTTAGGATACACAAAGACCTCTCACATGTATCTCATCCCATGTGATCTTAAATCTTAAAATGGGCTGGAAGTAATGAGGCAAAAAGATGAAACTGGAGAACAAAAGACAACTTTTGCCCATTTCACAATTTTACCCATAGTTTCCCATCCACGTTCCCCAGCCAACTGCCCACTGGCCTCTTTGTTCTGAACCCGCCTTCTCTCCTACCCTGCGGCCTCCGCGCATGGTTTTTCTTTCTTCTTCATTCTCAAAGCCACATTCCACCTCCATTTCTCATTGCTCCATGTCCCCTACTCCATACCTTCATGTTAGTCCCAAGAATGATGAGTACCCTATAAAAAACTCCCTAACAATTAGATTTCCTACCTGAAAGCTGTAGGATTTTTATATGAATTATAACTATTGACTCTTTCAAAAAAAAAATTCACAAGCAACAAGAAACCAAAATATTTTGAATGAGAAATCTATTAATACCAACAAAATTGCATTTAAAATCTAGCATTTTAAACTCACTTTCTGCAATATAGAAAATTTTGGTAAGAAATTAATAAAAGCCAAATTTGATCAATAAAACTAATCAAAACTCCAGGATTTATTATTCAGACAATATATAAGGTTTTATCGACATTGAATCATTTGCAATCAGCAGTCAGCATGCAATATATCTGTGGCTAATTTCCCCAACCTAAGACAAACCTTATGCATTTTCCATAAACTTGATTAACACAAGTCAAAATTTTAGGAGGCTTTGCTTTTGATATAAATATCAAAGTCCCTGTTGACTAATAAATATACTCGAGTTAGTGGGTTCAAATAAAATATTACTTGAAGTAATCACTGATATTTTTATTTTAAGTAAATAAGTCTTGAACACAGTAATATTAATCTATGTATTAAAACCTGTGTGCCAATATTGTGAAATGCTGCTTTAAAAAAATTATCGCCCAGGAATACATAAGCAGAAATACTAATTCTATTTTGTCAGGTCTTTGTATATTATCCTACCTCCATAAGTGGGAAAGACCTTCATTCTCAATTTATTGAACACATATTTTGTGAATACTTACTATGTGCTAGACTTTATGTTGCATGCTGTGAATAACATAGGAAGGACTGACCTATGTCAAAGAATTGAGGCCAGTAGCAAAGATGTTTTGAAGACTAACTAGGTGCTAGTCACTACTCTAAGAACTTTAGATATTTTATCTTATTTTGTCCTTAAAACATGCCAATGGGGTTGATAGTATTATTACTCCTTTGAACAGATGAGGAAACTGGCACAGAGAATCAAAGTAATTTGCCCAAGATCACATACAGTGTGGTCAGCAGAGCCCTATTTTGAACCCATGACTCCAGAGTTTAGGTTTATACTCACTGTGGTTGGGGCTAAAGAATCTAAAATTGTATTTAGATTCCAATTGGGGCTCTATGGAAAATGGGATAAATTAAAATACTTCATCTACTTAGAAATACATCAATGAGCTCACAAGAACATTAGGGAAATTGCCAGTGGACAGAAATTAAAAGGAAATGACAAGCTAGAACAGGAACCTTGTAAAATCCTTAAAGCAG